ATAATGCATTTCAATAGCCTCTTTCTGGCCAGCGAATGTTCATGTCTGCCCCCAGTTTATAATGCAGACTTTGTTATAGCTGTGTTGTCTCCAAGCCCAGTCTGAGGTAACCCCAGGTTAAATCATTCAGGGTTTAACAAAGTCTCTACCCTTAGGAAATCATACAGTTTTCACAGGCTGAGCACTATGAATGATCAAAGGTAAAATGATCTTTATATTAAAAATGCTTGAAATGATTTTTTAGGTGAACTGAAAAAGGACAGTGGGGAGCACAGAGAGAGACAACTGAAGTCAGGTGTAACACATTTGGGTGGTGAGCCAATCAGACGAGTGAAAAACAGGACAAAGACAAGTATATTAAAGGAGAAGTTCATTTTTTTTCAACCTGGTCCTTATTTCCAGTATATGGTATGTAGATCTACCCACCCATAAAGGTTTGGAGTAACTTGGAGTCCTTCGGACGCTTTTAGATCCACATGCGGTCGGCGTATATCCATACAACGCAAGTGACTGGGGCATCCACAATACAGCCTCTAAATAATGCATTATCTGCCGCCAAACTCTTTATTTACTATGAATCGCCAGCACTAGTCCCTGTGAGTCTCGCTAGCCTTGGAGAAGATTTCTCAAAGTAAACCAAAAGTCCTCTGTTGACATTAAAGGTCCACAAAGACAAAAGTTTAAAGTCCATACAACAGAAACTCTATTCCAAACTAGCTCCAAAACAAGTCCAAAAAAGTCTTGAGGGCAGAATAATAAGATTATGACAAAGTGGTACCTGTGGTTTATGAATTAAAGGATAGTTGAGTTATAACAATTCCTCATCTGTCATTTGTTGACCACTCAACAAGTTCAAGGATGTAAAACCGTGTGACACTGGTGTTCGCTCCTGCGTTCTCCTCAGACTCTGACTCTGGCCAGAGAATATGCTGCGGAGTTAAAGAAGCCTTTCCCTGAGATAGACGATAAGGTCCTGGAGGAGAGAGAGTGGCCAAAGGACTGCTACGTGTTTGAGGGAAAAGAGAAGGAGCCTACAATCGTGTACATGCCGCTCTTCAATAGACGGAACTGCCAAGGTCTGTGACGCACACACACACACATACACACACTTGAAGATTTGTTTTAATGATTTTTCCTCTTTGAGCCAGAACTGCTCCTAAATATGATTTCAACTTCAGTGGACAGAAACAAAGATGAGCTATGTTTTCATGATGCAGTATGGACAGTTTTTTTTCCTGTGTTAAATGAAATGGCTTCTAGATTTAATAGGTTAGCACAAACAAAATGTTACAGAGCATTGTTATGAATGTGTTTCTCTCTTGGGGCCACTGCTGTATATTGCAATGTACAGTGTATTATATTTGTGTAGCATAGGAACAGGAGCAGTGAATTATTTGTTTTGACAATACCTTTTGTCAATCTGAAAGCATTTCTCTCAGTGGAAGTCAAGATTGATTTCACATTAATCCATAAATATGAAGCTGGGGAGAAAACGAAGACCACACAAAATAGCATTTGGGGTTGTGTTTGTGATATTTCAGCCTCAGTGCTAATAATCACATGGCAGCTTGTCAGCATGCAAAAATGGAGCAACGCTTGCAAGGTAGTTCAGGAAGACAACTGAGCTTGGCTGATCCTATCATGTGGCATACCTCACTCTCTACAATCATCTCTAATACACACCCTATGAGGCAGTCTATTTAAGCAGTGAAAGTTTCCCATCACTCCCTTTGCTCACTCCTTGCGATTGTTCAAGCAACATTACATTACATATCATTTAACGACTTTTATCCAAAGTGACTTCCAATAAGTGCATTCAACCATGAGGGTACGAACCCAGAACAGAAAAAATCATGTAAGTACAATAGCTTCGAAGAGCTGAGCTACAAGTGCTACATGTAAGTGCAATATACAATTCATATAAACACCAGAGTAGACGACATCTTATTAACCAAGGTGCAGTTGGAAGAGATGTGTCTTCAGTCTGTGGTGGAAGATGTGTAGACTTTCTGCTGTCCTGATGTCAATGGGGAGCTCGTTCCACCATTTTGGAGCCAATACAGCAAACAGTCGTGATTTTGTTGAGTGGCTAGTTGCCCCTCACGGTGAGGGAGCAGAAAACCGATGCAGAGCCAAGTGCGTCCACTTGTGTAAGGTTTGACCATGTCCTGGATGTGGACCGATTCATTCGCAGCGGGGTACGCAACATACTTGTGTCTTCAAACAGATGCGGGCAGCCACTGGTAACCAGTGAAGGGAACGGAGGAGTGGTCTGGATATGGATGTATGCTTTTGTATTTCAGTATCTGACAATGCTGAAATGCATTATCAGGGCTCTGCATGCTGATGCTTGCAGGAGCGTGCACAGTGGTCTCGTCTTTAAAATTTGTTTGCAGGCGATTTGCTGTACATAATCCAAAGTAAATATCAAGGTTATTATAGTTTTGAAGTTTTCATTAGTTTTTCAGTTTGCTTTTTTATTTCAGTTTAGTTTTAGTTAGTTCAACAAGTGATTTTGTAGTTTTAGTTTAGTTTTTATTTAGTTTTAGTCTTAGTTTTAGTTTTTCCAGGTATTAAGAGAAATCCTTGACTTGTAGAAGCTGAAAAAGGATGAAACAATGTGTGACACCAAATATGGTTTATCAAGTCCTTCAATTTCATTCTTTAACCATCACCTGCAGGACAGGCAGTAATCGAGGGATAAAACAAAAACATTTTGAATTTATCTGCAATTCAGTTTAGTTTTAGTTAGCTTTGCATTGTTCATTGTAGTTTTTATTTAGTTTTTGTTTTTTTTGTAATTGTCATTTTTATTTTTATTTCAGTTAACTAAATTATTTTTTCATTGCTAGTTTTAATTTCTGACCTTGTAGATTCTCCCAAACAAATCAAATAGATACAAATGAATATAAATTACTCCTTGGCACATGTTGTGTGACTTACTACAKGCTCTATGAATTTTAGCAAGCTGTCATAGAACAGCAGGGTCTCATTGGATTAGAGCCTAATAAGCCTTCACTGTCTATAGATGCAGAGGAGATCAATGCGAAGATGGAGGAGTWCKYKYCCTTCCAGCTTCCTTWCAGTGAGACCAAGATCAAGMTTMTGTTGGAGACGGCTGAAGCTAACATGAAGAACAACAAGGAAACTCTGCTGAGGGAGATAAACAAGGCCGTCCTACGCCGAGAGAACAAGAAATGAGGTTTGGCCGGAGTGTTACAGGGTTGTCAAGCAAGACAATGAGAGAGACACATTTTAATTTCTAATTTGTGAGCTCAATGTCTCAAGGTTGTATTCACCAAACTCTCTCTCTCTCTCTGTCAGATACAATAAATAATCCAAAACATCATAACAACTGAAATTAGATGCTGTGACAAAATACCCCAATCAAGTAAATTGCCAGGCCGTGATGATGATGGTGATGATGATGGTGCTGATGGAGATAATGATATTTGATATCTCTTCATAAAAGAAATGTATCTATTATATTTTAACTCAAAGTTCCTTCAGGATAAGATAACGGATTTGCTCAGGCAAAGAATCCCCTGTAATGAAAGCTCTTTATCTGTTTTTCTCCTCATGAATTATTTGTGTACTTGAGAGGAAATTCTAAGTATGATTGAATTGGTGAATTCCACGAATTTTCTTCAATTGCTCGTACTACTTTAGAACAAATCTGTCTGTAGGACTGGTTCTCGCCTCTGTGAAAAATGGTAATTGATGGATAAAAAAGAGACTCAATAAAATGAGTTCATGTCATATCTGTGCATCACTGTGTGTCTGAGACCGAGCGAGAGGGAGATGTGGATAGCTGATGAATAAATATTCGACTTATCAGAAATCTTTCTTCTTCTCTTTTCCTCTCCCTTCCAGGAAGTCTGTGCTGCACCAGCCCTGAATCTTATCATGGTGGTGTGCTGTGAACTGACCTGTGTGGTTTCACAATGATTGTGAATCAGTCTCTGACTTCATCTACATAAAGAGTCGGAGGAGAAGAAGCACAAACAGAGCATGCATGTAATGATGTCTGCTAAGATGGCTGCCACTCTAAATAAATGTCGGTTACATAATGTGAGAGTAATTGTCTTCTTCACGGGTTTACTGCACTGCACATACATAATGGGTTTGACAACATTGTAGAAATGATTTTTCCTATCACATGATACGATGAAGTCACAGGATGACTCTAGCAGTCACTTAAGACTTAGACTGCACTAACCCTGTGACTCCTTGCCACACATATCTGTACAATTTCAAGGATAACACAGCAAAGAGGTTTTGACCGATCAGAGTCCTGCAAGGGAGGAACTCCTGGTGTGAAGACATGTGAGAATGGAGTGCTCATTAACAACAATGACAGATAGGCAGATAGGGTTATGGTACACGTACATAATGCTATTACTTATATTTTATATGAATATGATTTCAGTCTTCACACACACCATATTCAGCCTGAGTGTCGCACTGCATGTGAAGGGAGTAACCCAAACATAACGCAAGAGGTCGCAGCACACCCACAGGAGAGAGCTCCAGTGTGCGTCTCACAGTCTGCGAACACCACAGGAAATGAAATGAATCACTGTGATAACTTCAGTCAGGTTGTCACTGAGGAAGAATTGTTCTCTTTATTAACTCTGAGATTGGGACAAGTGCATCTAAATCTAACAGTGTACTATTGTATAGACTCTCACCATTATATAGAAATCATTTTGTATAGCCTATTCTTCGGATCTTGAGTGGATGTCTGACTTTATCTCACTCTGTGTTTGTCCCCTCCTTGTTATTATTTAGGATGTCTCCTACTCAAATACACTGTGTGTGTGTGTTACTGTGTGTGTGTGTTACTGTGTGTCATCATCACACAGTGTCATGAACACGCTGTCTCTGTCAGTCTGTGCGCTCCTGGCGCGCTGCGCGTTTGTGGGTAAAGTTGTCTGATCCAGCGCAGAKAGGCGGTGCGCCACTGACATCCACCCGCTCCGAAGGAGAACCAGCAGAGGAACACGCGTCAAGAAAGATTTTTACAGCTGGAAAATACTTACAGGCGGATAAACACACAGATAGATGGTTAAACGCTGAAATGATCCAGAACCGCGGAGAAAACGAGGACGACGCTGTGAGGGCGGATCTCCTGCGGGGCTTCACACCATCTCTGCGCTCCTTGTGAGGGGACACACCGAGGAGCTGAGGGGGAGACGGAGAACTGAAGAGGAGGGGAAAATGCTCAAAGTTTGTCCGCGTCGTGTGGAAGTGACAGCCCGCAAAGCGCCGTCCCGCAACAGCTGCAGAAAATGAGCATGAATTGAACGAAGAATGCATGTCGTTTGGGAAATATCTGTGATTCTGCAAACATATATCATCTGCACGTCATCAGGTAAGGAGACCGATTCTTTATCGTTTCTACTAATGTCAGGCAGAGGAGTGATGCCATTACTGACGGTGCACACTTTACTATTAGGACCAGGCAGCTGTCAGTCAGGTACTGTGGTCTCTCTCTGGACACATCAGCCAGTTCGAGTCAGGAGAGTCAGATCATAGAGGTGAATGAATTAACTCAGAACTCACACATCATATTCAGTGTTTTGATCTGGAGCCTTTCGTGCACGCGGACGCACTCTCACACGCACAAATCACAGTAGTAAGCTGTAGTGGCATAAACACACAAGCTGACTAACAGGCAGAGGAGTTCATAATTATCAGTCTGCAGGTCAAAGAGCTCATAGAGTGCATGATCGTGTCACACACACACACACACACACACACACACACACACACACAGCACAGGGCCAAAATTATCCAGGCAACTGCCCATTTGCCCTTCTTGACTGAAAAAACCCAAAACTTTATAGTAAAGTTGTGGTTGCAACAATAATACTCAGTGACTCAATATAGTTGATTCAATTAAAACACGTCCTCCATGGACACTTGTCCAAACAGTCCAAAATAAGGGTACAGTAACACATACAAAAATGCATATCCTGGGTAAAGCCTCAATCAATCAATCAATCAAATTATATTTGTATAGCCCATATTCACAAATCACAATTGTCTCATAGGGCTTTAACAAGATGTGGCGTCCTCTGTACTTAACCCTCAAAAAGAGTAAGGAAAAACTACCAAAAACCCTTTTAACAGGAGAGAAAGAATGTAGAAACCTCAGAGTGAGCCACATGTGAGGGATCTCTCTCGAAGGACAGACAGAAGTGCAATAGATGCCACGTGTAATGGAGAACGTCAGAGAAATAGTAGAGTAATTGCAGCATTGGTCAAAATAAACAGTTTGTAGCATGATGGGAGGTCAATGAATTGAGGAATTATTGTCAGTAATGGTCGAGTATCTGAGGAGACATATTGTATATCAAGCAGTCTTGTTGTAATCATAGTCCACGATCAGGATACACCATCATAATCCATCATCATGATCCACTGCTGCCATCAAGATCCACCATCAGCTGCCACCTCGATCATGGTCCTCCACTATGTTCAGATGCCAGCACGATACAGGATCCGCATTTCCATTCCATTTCACCAATGTTGAACTCTTCATACGAAGCAATGCTGTGGAATTGTCTCACCACAGGGAGAAGTTGTTCAGCTCCTTGCTCACGCTGATTGGAAGAGAACTAAGGGTCTAAGCTGTCTTTAGCTTCTTTCTAAAAGAAAGCTAATGTTGAAGTTAAGTTGATAAGAAGTTAAGATCCACGTTAGTTTACGATATAAAACAAGCTAACATGGGAGTTAGCTTCTTTCCAGCTCGTGTCAGGAGCAGGTAGCTATTTATAATGTTCTAAATGGTAAAAGTGGAGAGCAGCTTTGCAGAGTCATTTCCTACACATTCAATTTATTTTCAGATATTTTTTTCACTTAC